CCGCGGTGGCCAAGTGGTTAAGGCGTTTGATATTCTGCTACCACTAGCCCCCATCACTGGTTTATTTCCGGTAATTCCAGCTTTCCTCCACCAAAACCTGGCACGTCCTTAAATGACGATAGCCGTTAAAAGGACGTAAATACCACTAACCCCCATCACTGGGTCGTGGGTTCGAGACCTACGCGGGGCAGTCGCAAGGTACTGGACGCAGGTCGGTGTTTTTTCCGGTAATTCCGGCTTTCCTCCACCACTAAAAACTGGCACGTCCTTAAATGACGATAGCCATTAAAAGGACGTAAATACCACTAACCCCCATCACTGGGTCGTGGGTTTGAGACCTACGCGGGGCAGTCGCAAGGTACTGGACGCAGGTCGGTGTTTTTTTCCCGGTAATTCCGGCTTTCTTCCACCCCTAAAACCTGGCACGTCCTTTAATGACCATAGCCGTTAATAGGACGTAACACACAAACAAACCAAAACAAACAGCATATATAATGATATTACACTTGATAAGAAAGTTATCATGTCGAGTTATCAAAGATGAAATTTTGCTGAATAATCATCTACAATTTATTACAAATTATTCGATGCTCTATATCAATTAATAATTATTTTAAAGAAAAACAAATATTACCTAGATGCAGAAACAACAAGAAAAAAAATGTGATTGTTGATTTTCTGAAACCATCAATGCCAAGAGAATATATGTAAACTATATATACATTAGGTGTCACAGTCTATGTTTGTCGTAGCTATAGGATCCAGTATTGTGTACGTTAAATGACAGTAAAATGATTATCCGGAATGCTTTAAAATCTTGACAACGTAAACCATCAATCAAGATGGTCATTATATTCAAGTTCAAGGTTTCAATTAAGTTAGATTGTATGATACGACCGGCATATTTACGACATAAAAAGTAATTGAATTACCAATTTGTGTGGTGTGGACATTTTTTTAGTGATATTTCTTCAATATTGTTCGATTGTATATCACTTCTGATAACACCATGTCAGACAATGTGGCCAGAACAGATGCTAGTATCGGGACGAAAAAATAAAACATTAAAGAGAACCAAGCAGACATTCTAAACACAAGAACATATCTTAAACCCCTGTAAAAACGTGGAAGCGAATAAAGGTGTTCCAGAAAGGTTACAATGTCTGCACCACATGTGTGTCGAACGTCAAGTCAAAGAAAGCATGTAGGTTACCAAATCTCCAGTGGAGAAATATTTAATCATTGTTGACATTGATTCGTAGAGTTAGAAATCGGGTAAATAGAACCGTGATAAAGCTTCAGTGTATTTTGAACCAGCTGATGTAGTTAAAACTCTTTCTAAGTAGCTGAATGATCAGCATGAATATCTGTCGAACATAGTCTGATAATGAAGAGTCTCAGGAGTAGCGAATCGATTGTGATACATTTCATATACATTTCATAGCAGACAGAAATAAGCAAGCAATACAAGGTTATCAAAGGTAGTTTAACTTTTTTGTGATATTTAGAGCAGTGTTTATGAGGTCTTTACGAAATGCATGTTTATTGTAAAGATCGTCATGATTTGTTCCGTTTCTAAACCTTACAACCAACTAACATTACCAGGTGATGTTAACTACAAACTATCACTAATTGGAAATCAATTGATAGTCATGTGATTCAGAATGCTTTTAAAAAGCAGTTGGATATTTATGTCTACCTGTTTGGGGATTTGATATCATAAAAACTAATTCTACCACGTTTTCGATGTGACGACGCTTTCCATTGGTTAATGACTATGTATTATTCGACGAAAGACCCTATGCGCGTGTCTGTTTGATTTTCCAACATACCATGCACGTGAAAAGCTCTTCTAACCCCTCCGCCCCCCTTTTTAAAATCTACGCCTATCTAAAATATATCAAGCTTATGGTCAATGATAAGTTCTGCTGAACTTCCAAATCTATCAAATGTTAATTTTACATGTTTATTCAAACACACATCTGGTATAAAGTATGACGTCAGTGTTTATTGCATATCGTCTGTTGACCAAATGGCGACTGGAAATGAAAACAAAAATCTTCCCAAATATATCAAATAGACAAAAAACGACAACTGCCCACAGGGTCAGAAACGATAAAAGGTTGTTGTGAAATTAAGATATATAATAATCACGTGACAAATGTTGGCGATTGCAAAAAAACAGCCTAATTTAAATAATTAGATTATCAAGGGCACTATGCTTAGCATAGCCGTGGGAAACACTGAGGTAGACATACAAAGTTTCATTACATTGTTACTCGGTAGAATAGATATAATCAATACATGTTTGTATATTACAGTGGAAAGCATGACTCGGGATTCGAAAATAATGGAAAAATAATCAACTCATGCAGCAAGCGAACTTCGCTTATTATATTTCCCCAACATGTTCTCACCCTTGGTACATTTGTAAAACAAAGTTCACCCTTATACACGCACACACGTTCAGCATTTCTAAAATAATCACATTACAACTTTTGGATAAAATGAATTGCATATATAATTATATAATGTTGGTTTTTATAGTGTTATTGAATGAATACTTTAAATCAAATGAATGAATGACAGAGCCGACGTGTAAACGGCTGATGAATCAGTCATTTGCCTTAACAAAGCAAAGTGACATGGTTCTATATAAAAACAAACTAACAATATGGTGCTATATTTAATAACTTTGCAACCTTGTATATTGTAGTAATAACGAACTGTTCACCTGCTTGCTTCATTGAACAAAATCCTAACAACTAATTACAATATACTAGCTATTGTGTTCATTGTACAATAACTTAACAAGCTAGAGCAAAGTACACAAATCTAGCAACATCAATGTACAAAAACGTCGACCCTTAATATGTAAGCTCGTTAGTTTACATATTGTTAAGTGTATTTCAGCCATTATTCGTAAAGAATAGTTATGTGCGAAGGGACATACCTTCTCCCATTTATAAGTGAATTGACGATCGCTGATCCTTAACCTATATCGTTGTGATACAGGTATATGGGTGTTACACAGGTATTGTCACCTCGATTGAAAGTAAATATTATTTGTACACACATGTTAACCTTCAAAATTAATCCAAAACTTTTAAATTAAATTTTTGAAAAGAGAGCAATTACGTTTTTCACCTGTGACAATCGGTCATATTTGGACGAAGGAAACTTCAACTATTCTATATTTACCAAAGAAACAATTTAATGAGGGTCATTTTCTATCCTAACAGGGTTTAGGAAATAGACGAACAACAATAAACACGTTTATACAATTATCGTTTAACCTGCTATAGTCACGGTCAACTTTGGTATATATCACATAATGCCGTACCGTATAGCCAGCGATACATATAACTCAAGACAAAGTCCGTTCCGAAAATTATCACTTGAATTCCTGATCACCTTATGAGTAGAATCGTGGAGGCTAGCCAGGGACGGCAGAAACAGTAAGTAGAAGTTTCACACCTTTCTTAAAAAGTAATAACTATGTATTTTTATTATTTCAATTCGAATTTAACATAAAATATTAATATTATTATGAAGGTATTTGTTAGTATCATCCTTATTTTCATATGTTGATAAAAAGTTTGCAATAAAAAGGGATTTAATACGCAACTACAATGGCGCCATTGAAAGATACTAACAATATAGAATAGACCGACTAAAATCCTTGTCGTCATGGTGATAAAACTTTGTATGAAGCGTTGCTTTTTTAGTTATGCTTTTCCTTTCATCTTGTTATGAACTAATATTATCATTAGTGTAGCTGTGAATTGGTGTAATAAAAAGATCAGATGTTAGCAATATTTGCCGTTGGGTTAAATGCACAGGTAATCCTTACTGCTAAAATACACCTGTTAAAGTTATGCGTATTAAGTCTATGGTGATATATGTATACTTGTTATTTTCTTAAAATATGCATACATTTCTTTATACAGAATATTATGACTGTCCAAATTATCTTTTAAACTGTTGTTAATTATATCTCGCGTGAAACTGATAGCGTTTGAAGTGAGTGATATTGCGACGGAGCACAGGTTCGTTACAAATGTCTGAAATGTTTATGTGTGCTGTGACTCATATCAGTAGGTCTGTAACATATGTGTCAATTAGGTCTATAGAAGACATTTGTAACGAACCCCTGTTGATCAGTGCATTTTTCGGGAGGTTTCGCGAGATCAAAAAATCGCAAAAATAGAACGCAAACTTTTCATCACATGACGACAAATACCATGTGTGTAAGTCGTATCATTAATATGGAGATAAAACGGGGGAAAAAACCCAAATACAGAGATAAACATTATTTGACGGATCAAAACTGTTACCAAGAACTACTCAGAGCAAACAATATTTGTATACAATCATTGTAAATATGTCATACCCTGTTAAGAAGCTCGACATAAGCTGCCTCCGACGCCGGGAGTCGAACTCGTGCCTACCATCACACCGGGGTTCAAACGTTTTTAAACGACTCCTACGCCGACCGGAGTGTCTAATGGTATATGGTATAGTTATTTACCTGTTGTTTTTACTCAGTCTAATCTAAAAGGCCTTATGATCTATGGTTATATTTTGTTCTATCTGTAATCCATATACATTAACCTATGTGTGATAGAATAACTTCTCAATTACAGATTTAGGAAGATTTATTACACTTGTTATACTTCTAACCCGGTATCCCTCCAATGATCAAAGTCAACTGTACGCCAAACCCTATCTTATAATTAGCTGTAATCAGGGGGGAAACAGGTTTGTTGACGCACTAATTTTGCTGTTATTCATGTTCTACGTTTGGAGAAAATCTAATGGTATGATAATGTCCTTTTAAACATAATCTAGTGTTCAGTGGTACATGAACTGATTTATAATTTCTTTATTACCAAAAAACACATCTGTAAACTACATTTATATTGCTTATTACGTAAATGTCATTTTCTGTATTAGCATGTCACCTGCTGATCGTAAATACAATATAGAAACCCGTGTTACGGGACGGTTGCCTGCATTCCTCGTTCAGAATCAGGGACATTACGATATGAATTTGGTAAGTTTTAGTTTATTTCTAATATCATCTGGTATGTAGTGTAGTTACATTTCTAAATGTTATCCTTAAACCAACTAAAATACTTTATACATTTTGCGTAAAGAATCTAACAGAATTGATTTTATGGACATGTTTAGAAGAAGCAGAAAACTAATACATTTGTGCAATGGCAAATTTCCACACACTGGTCAATTCTGGACTTAGGATCAAGCAAATCAAAATGGCCGCCATACGGAACAAATTGTTGGGGAAATGGTGACATAATGAAGAAAGTTTGTGTAACATTGTCATATTTGCAACAAAGTTCTGTAGCATAGTAACAAAACCTGTCACGCTTTCCAAGAACAAGCTGATAGTTACAGGTGTACGTTTGTTCCAAATAAGCAAGGATAATATTTACTGATATCATTTTACCTTATTCATACAGTTGGACTAATCTTCAAGTTTGCTCGATACAGGTGCCCATACTAAGGTTTAGTTCAGTTAAGATTTGTTACGCTTTAAACAGATACAAATCAGAGAAAAGGCTTGATGAGACACTAACTAAACACTTTCACTATAATCTTGTCCTTGTTCTATCCAAATATGCAAAAAAATCACCTTCATCGTTATTCGATTTTAAACCACTAAAATTAGACGATGAACTCATCTTTCATATTTAAACAGTACACGAAGAAGTAGCACAGTGTTGTCTGTTTAAACGTGCAGCCAGAAGAAAAAAGAAAATCATGAGATTTTAGAAGCTTTATTATGATTACTTCTTGTTATCATTTTGATCCTTATAGGACGTTTTTAAATATATGATCCTATTTAAGATTACGGATCAGTGTCTCTAGTGACTAAGCAATATCGGTGTAGTAGCTATCGATATTGCACAGGTATACAACGTGTACTGAACATATACATATTACTCACAGTTCACTGTCATAACGTTTACAGAGTAGGGGAGGGCAGAGCATGGACATTGATGTGAAACTGAAGCATTTTGATTAATAGAATCTTCCCCTCCCTTGCGGGTGTTCAAGCTGATTAATCAGCTCAAGGGTGGAAGGTTTCTTTGTTACACCCTAAAGATTGTGGATGATTATATTTCTCCTATTATCCAAATACTATGCTCAAAACCAAAAGTGTTCAGCATTGGTAATCTGTTTGTTACCTTCATTCACGCATGACCTCTTCCGTCAAGAGATGATTATGACGTTATATCTGATTGTTTCCGTGACGTCATTGTATTGATTATTTCTGCATGAGATGACTATACACTAGAGGTAACAGAGATAGTATACAGGTAAAACAGGAGACTATTTAGTCAAAGGTTGGATACATTTTGATGTTGCTTTTGATGCATTACGCATATTAGTAACGACATATTGATGTAATTATTAAAATTAATTTCAATCGATTGCAATTGTCTAATAATGTATTGAACGGTTTGCCCAATACGTCATTTGAATAACAAAGCCACTGATTGATCAATTAATCAAGGCGGCAATTAAAAGAAATCTGTCGAGTGGATGGCAGCTCTACGCAATTGTACTTTAATTGCTTTTGTCTTTTTGGCACTTATTTCAAACATTTATTTAGGTTGACACATTTTCGTTCAAACTAAATTGGTTTACAAATTCGAAGATTACCGTAATATTGCAAACAAGGCACTACAGTCAAACGAATTGAAATAAGTGTCGTTCAATTAAAGAATGATTTCGACTAACAGTCGGTTCCTTTAAGCATTATCATAAAACGCCGCACCGTATGATCCGTGAGACAATTTTATTGCATTTGATTTGCTCGAAAAAAATCCACTCCCATAGTAGTTAAGCTGTATCATGGCCAAGGAATTTATAAGGTTTGACATCTGATATATATATATTACAAACACCTTGACGATTACATTAAATGCACAGGTAAACGTATATCGTACTTTAAACAGACAGGTTATATTTGCTCTTTAATGCATTCACTTTTTAATTTTCGTTTGAGTTATTATAATGACCTGCTCTGTGGTGTTTCGACTGCAGCACGTCTTGTTACCCGTTCTCGTAAGAGAGAGCATACCAAACCACTGTCATAGTCACTGACTGATTTCCTGTATGATACAGACAGTAGTAAAAAAAATTGATTTCCACACACAAGACACTGGATAGAACAATTCCTTAATATAATCATGAGCTTGTCGACAAACACTTTACATATCACTCGTCATGATCACTTCGATTGGGCATAGAATCTTTGTTCTGCTTTCCAAAAATTGTTATTGTGGCACTTGTTTACCGCTGTTTCGACAAACTTCCAGTAACTTTGCAGAATAGTCAATCCTCTCCTACAAGAAAACCCTCTCCTCACTCGATGAGAGTGTTAAGTATAATCTGTTTATACCTGGTTGTTTTAAGTAATTTAAAAATAAGATTTTCTCTTGTAACAGCTAAGGTGTATGAGGGGAAAACTGTCTTACTGGCAAGCTAGCTTTTCCAGTGATGCGGTGTATAACCCGGCGACCCGTTCCGTTTACTAGTTCAGCTACGTCGAGTGTGTTCAGTAGTTGTATGGGTGATCCTCCGCACGTTACATTCGGTGGTAACGGTGGGACTCTGTGTGATCATGTAAGGCAAGTCTCCGTTGGTAAGGGAAGGCGCATTGACCCAGGCCAAGTCTCTGGACGAGACTCTTCGAAAGGGGGAGGGGGGTCACCTATCCAACCATTGACCACGCTCAACTTTGCTGAACTAGTGAGCGGGTCGCCGGGTTAAACCGCATCACTGGTAAATCTAGCTGGCTAGTAAGGTAGTAATAGTATAAGTAAACCATAATTCGAACGAACTCAAATCGATAACACTATGACAAAATACGAACAAAGGAATTGTAATATGGAGACACTTGAAGACGTACAATGTACAATGATAATAAGAACAGATGTTCCGGAAGGGTAAGCGTCATCTGCTTCACCAACGCACTTGTCTTTTAAATATAGGTCAAATCAAAGCTAAATATAAATAATGTCACGCCCTCACATCGAGAACTCGGGTAGTGACAACGAAATCACTGGGCTCTCTATAGCCCTCAACCAAAACCTCTTTATATATTGCAAACATTCAGCTGAACAAATATTATTTGTAAAAAGTGGATTTACTGAAGATGCTAGATTTCTTTCACGTTGACCTTTTGAAATAGACTTAACATGCTATAGCATCTATTCATGAATGATTGCAGTTTGATAAATACACATGATAAAAAGACACCCGTTTGAACTTGATTATCTTGTATGAAAGAAAGTAAGAAATCCTTTCATACCAATCATTTTTGATAAATATTTGATTCGGTTTCATGTCAATACAGATGTAAGCGTTCTGTACACAGTGCTTAGTATGACGTCTCTATTGCAGGTGCTTGCAGCAGACGACGCCATTGTTATTTTGGGAAATATTTGACATGGCGACCTTGCAAACACCATTTGGAATGTTCGAGTGTGAGAAACAGTCTCTTCGCCATTATTCTAGACAGCAATTAAACCACTTACTCAAACAATGTAACAATTGATTCCTACTCCACCGTCGTGTCGTCTCACAGACATCAGGTGTTAAAATCCGTCTTTATTGATGTATTGATTATAGATACATTTAAGACATGATTCAACACAAGCAGATATTTAATAGTTCTTAGATGTTCGTATAACAACTAAAAATAACAATCGTCCTGTTAGTTTGAAAACCGTGTAAATTGTAAGTACCAAATATTTGACTTCAGATTGGGTATACATAAATCTTTAAAATTGTATAATGTGCAGAAATCTGTAGACATTTCCAAAGGAAAGGGAAGTCTAATTTTATTCTAGTATGCTTATATGGAATATATTTATTAAGTTCCTTTCAACATTCAAGTCCCTTATCAGGTTGGTAAATGTTAACACGCCTCGATGACTATTTTGACATGGGGCTTTATTGATCTAGATATGTTATTGTATTATTGGTCCTCGATTTGCTAGGGCTAATGAAGCCCTAACCATAAACGGTGGATTGATTTAAAATAAACACCTGATGTAAGACAAGGATATCTTATCAGATCGCGAGCTACCTGTTAAAATCCGCGCGGGTACGTATCGCATATCTCGATACACCTGTAGAAGTTATGACGTTTTGATAACATATGTGAATGTCATGGACAATTTGCGACAAACTGTGACATAATGTCGATATTTTGAGAATTTATGCTTTGTTTTGTCGTTGTTACATTATCGATTCTGTCATTGACGCGTTGTGTTCTTTGGTAATTATCAGAAATGCTGCAGTGACTGGCACTTAACAGGCAGAAGAGACTCAGAAACTGCGGCTGGCGAAAACAAGAATTCTTTAACAGCTCCTGGAACTCAACACCTACCAAAATGGAAGACAGGTATGTCAGAAGTATTTTTTCTTCCTTTTAGACTTTGTGGACTATTTACTTGCATTCTTTTCTTAAATTTGATAGTATACTGAATGACTCTGTAAACAAAACTAAAACACAGTTTCGACATATTGTTTTTAAAAACATTGAAACCAATACGGTTCTAAATCTATCAAACTTCAAAATGATGACCTATTTAACAAATTATTGATAGCATTAACATATTTTGTTTAATATCTGAACATTATTGTTTATATATTGTTGAACTAATGTTTGTGCATCGATAAAATTCAAATACCATAACTTACATCATTTGATTGGATGGAAGGTAAAGCATAAAGTCATATAACATAAGTTACAAATATATAATGTATATTCTGCATACAACATCTTTGTACAAACGAACTATTTTCACTGTTGATTTATGTTGTTAAACAATGTTAACTTATCCTTGTCTTAAATATAACTAATACACTAAAGCGTAACTGTCTGTGTAGACCCCTGTAATGGGGGAATAATGACCAAACTTGGCAGGTACTAGATGTTTTTGTATTTGACAACTCCGATAGAAACAAACCGAATGAAGGTTTTTAAATCATGAACTGTTGACGACTGTGTGGAAATTGTCACAGTTGTGGGCAGTCTGTACCCCTAACAATCTTATTAATTACGCAGGTCAATCAACCATAACGTACATACATATCAGTGTATTAGAAACCCTATTTATCACCTATATGTAGGTCAATCAACCATGAAGTACAAAATTGTATGTATGTCTGTGTGTCAGAAATCATGGGTATCAAAGTGTGAGTATAACTCACCCTGTTCCTCCTTTGAATTCGAATGATAACACACTAACAGTTGTAATTATATGTATTTTTTATGAAACCTTACCTTTTTTATTCATTTTTTAATGACATTTTGCATTTTAATAAATATTATTCAATTGTACAATGGTAAAAAAGGTAGTGCTTTCTATATACAAATTCACAGTTTACGCACTGCTATTCAGATAGCAAATAACATTTATCTCCCGATGGATATCGACACATATATAGCAACTCATATATCGTAGAGAGCATGTCAATTATTCATGTGAAGAATGAAGCTACCAACTGATGCTGAATGTGATGGATGTACATTCATAACAATGTATAGGATCAAGTGAGGACTAAAGCACAGAAAATAATTTGTAAAATCGAACGCATTTAAAAAAAGTCTGAAATTGATTTCTAAATCATACGTGTGGTATAACTCTTTTTTATAAAAATAAACACGATATGACATAATTCTGTATTTATCTCCCCTTAGTCTATTGACATGAATGGTACACACGTTTTCCTTTTTTGTTTCGATGTTTTCTCCGTGCCTTTTATTTATTTATTTAAAAACATGTTTTATATCGATTTTAAGTTCACATTGTGTTATTTCATGTGGACGATTTGAAATATATAGTTTTCCTTTCTTTCGTCGGGGAAAAACATTTGAAGCACAATTCATTTCAAGTCAGCTCAATAGAAACTAGAAACAGTGGAGCACAAATCCAACATCAAATGTATTTACAGGATTCGTTGTGAAATCGATATCAAGCAATTATAGTTTTTTTCCATTTTTAAAATTGACATTAAGGTGGTTTTTTTTTTTAGCGATAATTGCATTCTTTCTATCAAGGTGACTGGTCGTCTGTTACGAAAATGACCCTTAAACATAATTACCCAAAGGATCCCAATCATTGGTTATCGATACTCAAGTTACCTTTTGGTCACTACTTGCCCACCAGTTAATACCTCTCATGACTGACATCAAGTCAAATGATAATTGATAATCGATAATTCACAAACGACCCAACTAATTGTCCTTATTTAGAAAATTGCACAAAAATATATCGATTGTGATATTTTTTTCCTGTAGGTATTTTCACACCACAAAAATCTTCAAACATAATGACATACTTTATTTTCCGTTTTCTCCTACCAACGTCAGTATTATCGCTTATCGGTCTATTGATCAAGACATTTTAACTGGAATGTGTGTAACAAGACAAGCTAAATGGCTAATTATACATGTACAAAATTAAACAGAGCATAAATCACGGGATGATTAGGAACAATAATTTAATATCATTTGATTTTATAATTCGAAGTTGAAGACTACTAATACACACGATGTTTCGTATCTTATAGACGGTGTAATTTTACATGCAATTGTCGCTAGATTTATAGGTTTTTGATGTGATATATTATACAGAAACAAGATCAGTTTAGTAGATTAGTCCTAATTGTGGCTTACTTAGTGTTGTACTGAATTAAACTTCTTCGATCTGATGGTGTTCCCCTTTCTTCTCGTTCGATATTTTATATGTATTAACTGATTCATCATGAATAGATTTCCATCCATATTATTCGAGTGCCTAGCATTATATTTTGCAAAGTTGGTGACTGAAAATCTTAAAGATTCCTGTACCGATGTCAAAAACTGAAATAATGCATCTGAAACTTTTCCCCATAATGCTTATAGCTTTCATAAGTCATATATTTGAAAATAAAACAATGCAAAAATAATAAAGACAAAATGTCTAAAAATCAACAATGCAACGGGTCAGACAAGGATTCGAACCTTGGACCTTGGACCTTGGACCTTTGGAAATTATACTGTAGCTCTACCCAACTGAGCTACGTGGTCATCATTGACAAATCACCATTAGATTTAATTCAGAGTGCAAACGAGACTGAGAGGAATTTATTGCTTTGTCTACAATGGGACTGGTATCCTTAGACATCATGGTGGGTGGCACATGCGTGAAGGAAACACTTTACTTCTGAAGCAGCTGGGTCTGTTTCACGTTCGTTCTGAAGCAGCTGGGTCTGTTTCATGTTCTTTCTGAAGATTAATGTGGTTGTCCTTTAGATTTCATCTCTCTTCCTTAAAATTGCATTTTTTCGTACAGACATATTTTATCAACATGTGTTAAGCCTATGACAAGTTTCATATTGGAGTTCTGATGGGAATGCTTCATGTTTATATTGATCCCTCGGTCCAACGAATCAAACTTAAATGACTATAAGCTTGGTAGATATTAATACAATAATGGTGTCAGGCTGTGGAATACAATCACTTAATACTGGGTTGATCTTGACTTGAAACATATTATTTACTTGATGAGCTGAAAGTAATGCTATATCTTCAGTTTGTTATTTATGTGTAGAGTGAATTTCATATTGCATTTGACCATTTGAGATGTTTTGATATTATTTTATTGAAGTATCACGTTACATTATATTTACCAGATTGGAACGGTTTCTGTTGGGATTCTTGCTGTATCGATGCCATTTTGTTTATAATGTTGTCCAATCATGCCAACGTTAGGAATACACAGTATTTTTGAAATAATTGATTAGACTAGAATACAATATTGGTTCCCTCTGTTGTTGATTTTAAAGTAATTTTATGCCGATTTCAATTATTCCTTTAATACAAACATAACGTAAAATAGATGTTGTGTTAATGTGTTATGATTGAAAACATACATAAATAGTATTTTAGTACAGTCGAATCTGAATTAAGAGACTACTATTGAAAAGGCTGACGAGTGGTCTCATAGCCAAAAGTTAACTCTCATTGGATAATTTATACGCAAATGATTATGCTTGAATAGCAAATGGTCTTAATATGATTGTTTCTCAAGCCGTTACGAGTTTAAAATATAGACGATTGCTACACCCATTATCCTAAACGTGTCAGGTCTCCATTAAATTCTATATTATCAGACGTTGTATAATCTAAAGTACTCTGTCCAGGTACTTGTTTTTGGAATGCAGGACAAAGAATTATTATGAAATACAGCTGAATATAACTTGATGTTTTATGGGATAACACACGCCTGGGGCTATACATATCTTGTCCTAGCACGATAGTTATTACATTAGCATATTATGCAACACAAACTGCGGATTGATAGCTTTATTAAATAACAGATAGATTCCGATAGCTTTTTCAGTATTTTAAACATTGCTGATATTTTGTTATGTATAACCACAGATAAATCACAGGCAGACAGTGCATTATCAAGTTTCGAAATTCTGTCATAACGAGGGGGCTAGGGTTGAGGGTGGGTGTGGGGTTTACTGTAGGAAGAAACCGGAGTACGCAGGGAGACTCTTCTTTCAATGATTGAAGTGAGATTTAATTTTATATCCAAGGGCTCTGAAGTTTTACCTTGTCTCGACTTGTACAGCCAATATTAACAACAACAACAACAAAAGATGTTTTTATTTTATTTCCGATAATCGAATGAAATGTATAAATAGAATGAATGTTGATCGGAATTGTAATAAATACAGTTTCCTGACGTAGTCATCAGTCCGTTATGCTCTCTTGTATAGTCGAGCCTCATCAATTCATATAGGTATGACATAATTAGAAAATTGTATGGTATTCCCCCTTTGATCTGTGCATCAAATTCAAGTTCACAATCGTTCATAACAAGTATTTAAATGTTACAAATATGTAACCTCTTATCTACACACAATAACTAATGAAAAAGTCATGAATGTTGTTAGTTCGACATAGGAAAAAATCATACTGTAAAGACAAAATGCCACATACATATGTCATGACTCTTTCATGTCAGGGGTTTGGATAGGGAAATACAACCCGAGGGGTTTTCACAATTGGTGAATCCTGAGGGTAACCGAGTGCTTTGTAACAATTTCAAAAACTCGGGTATGGAAGTTCCCTATCGTACATCATGGGCATCAGGTGTATTTCATTTCATTCCAATGATCAGAAAAAGCGCAGAGGCTCCAAAATGGCGTCGCAGTTTCCGCATGTCGAGATTTGAATGTTCACAAGTCACGTCATTGTTGTCCCTTTGTGACGTCACGCACATGAAATGGGGTTTTAAACAGAAATTGTATACATCCCCTTCTTTCTCTGGACAGATTTGTCATATAAGCATAATTATGAGAGAATATATTTTTCGTAACAATCTGTCCTTATTAAAAAGCAGT